CTTCTTACATGTTGAACACAAATACCTGTACTTTCTACTTCTTACATGTTGAACACAAATACCTGAACTTTCTACTTCTTACATGTTGAACACAAATACCTGAACTTTCTACTTCTTACATTTTGAACACAAATACCTGTACTTTCTACTTCTTACATTTTGAACACAAATACCTGAACTTTCTACTTCTTACATGTTGAACACAAATACCTGAACTTTCTACTTCTTACATGTTGAACACAAATACCTGAACTTTCTACTTCTTACATGTTGAACACAAATACCTGAACTTTCTACTTCTCACATTTTGAACCCAAATACCTGAACTTTCTACTTCTCACATTTTCCAAACAGGCTGGTTCCTTTAGTTTGAATGTGTGTTTGGTGGCGTGATCATTATTATTTAGAGTCATTGCGTGCCTATTGATTTGAACACGATCCGTGTATCCATCATTTCCTGGTCTTCTCTAAAGAAGAGGGACCAATGGAAACGTTGTCATGTTGCCGTTGTTCAGCATGGAAACATTCATTAGCTAACAATGACATTATTGTTCTATTAATATAAAGGGAGGTCAGGTACTCTTTAAAACAGCTGCTAGTTATGGGTACTTTTTACTGAAGTACATTTCAAAGCCTCTTTACTTTTACTTGAGTAAAGAAGTTTAGTCAGTACTTCTACTTCACCAGAGTATTTTTAAACACGAGTCTCTGTACTTCTACTTGAGTAAAGGACGTGTGTACTTTTGCCATCTCTGTTTCTCTCAGCTCTCCGCAGCCGATCGGGGCGATCCATCATTAATGGAAACTGGGCGATCGACCGGCCAGGGAAGTATGAGGGAGCGGGAACCATGTTCACATACCGGCGCCCCAACGAGATTAGAAGCACCGCCGGAGAGTCCTTCCTCGCTGAAGGGCCCACAAACGAGATCCTGGACGTTTATGTAAGTCACAAATGAACTCAGACCTTCAGATATCAACATACTGACTCTCCTTCTCTTATATTTACACTCACAAGCTTACATTTGGAATGACTTCTATTTAAATGAATGTCTCTAACTGTCGCTGATTAAGGTATAGCAATGCAGTTTAACAAACACGGTTATAGTTGTGACTTTCCCGGGAAATAGCAAATCGCACATAGTTAGGGAAGCATTTCCATCATCAAGCAGGTTGGTCTGCCAGAGAGGAAAACACTGCCACCACCTCTAAGATGATTAGTCAACAATGTTCTTTTGGTTTTTGATTTTGTTATGCTGTTTTCATACTGAATAACTTATTTTAGAAAGAAACGTTTGATCACACATCTAACAAACATAGGATTTAAAGTGGAGATTTTTTCAATTATTTCCGCTTCGACCTAAGAAACAAAGATTTGTAATTTAAATAATCCCTTTTTTTAATGGCACATATTATTAAAGTACGACAACTCTTTAAATATTTGAAGGTAAAGGATATCATTTTATAATTGATCTTCTTTGCCTCAGATGATCTTCCAGCAGCCAAACCCTGGTATTCACTACGAGTACACAATCCCTGAGAAACCAGTGGATGCTCAGCCAACCAACCACAGACCAGAAGGTAAAAAGACCCCTGTTTACCCCCTGCTAACGGTTTTATACTAAAGCATTGTCTGACTGCTTGTCTAACTCATGCGTCTGTGTCTTAGGGAACGCTGTGAATGGACAGGGAGGATACGACCATCACAGAAACACTCACCAGGAAAACTACAACCCAGCAGGGGGGGGTCGGGACCCTCCTCGCCTCCCAGATAATCAGGTTCCTGCTGTGCAGCCGCCCAGACGCCCCAGAGACTACAACTGGAAGATGGCGGGAACTACAGAGTGCAGCGCTTCCTGTGGGAAAGGTCAGTATTTCCTCTGACATCTCACACAATCATAACGGTACGTCCACACGGCAGCTTTGAAAAAATCTTGAAAATCTTCGAGCTGGGCGTGTCTGAGAGCTTGGGGATTTTTTGCGAGCAACGCGTCCAACAACCAATCACATGAATCTCCCGCCCCCGACATACAAAGCAAAAAACCCCGGGGATTTTATGCGAGCAATATATATATATATATATATAAACTCCCCAAACAGGCGAAAACCTACCAGTTTCACCCACTGTCTCTGCCACCTCCCTCCATGCCTGGTTCCTCCGGTTTGTATCCCGGTAAATTGTTCTGGTCGTAAAGAACCGGGTGATTTGCTACCGTAATTTCTCGTTTGGAATATGAGGAAATGAACTGCAGTATGTCTCTCCCAGCTTGCACGCGGTTTGATTGGCTAGCGCTTGTACTGTCAGATTTGCATAAACGGGATTTGATTGGCTGACGCTTCCAGCTCAGCTTCAAAAGTTGAACATTGCTCAACTTTTGAATCCTGAAAATCCTGAAAATCCTGAAAATCCTGGAAATCTTCGCTTTGCTTCCCCACAATGCAGTTCTTCTCTGCCCATTCAAAGTCAATGGGCAGAGAAGCGTTGGAAGATTTTTTTTAAGCTGCTGTGTGGACGTACCGTAAAAGAAACCTGAGGATGACAACAGTTACGATTTCATTGAAAACACGCAATTTGTATTTATTTTAAAAATGATTAACCTTCACCAAAGTGTTTTGTTGTTCGCTTGATTAAGTAAAAACATCTGGTCAGATTTTAAAGACGTAGGCATTTCGAGCGATTACCCAAAATATGGTTTAAGCTCGCTGATTCGATGTTTTAGCCGCAATGCATGCTGGGATTTGGTGTTTATATGATATGAAATCGAAAAAACATTAAAAAATAAATAAATAATACTTAATTCCGAGTGCTCTTGCTTTTCTCTTTGAAAGTCATCACATAACGGCATTGTAATACACGAGGTTCGGTCTG